AGGATTTATCTAAACTAAAAAACAGATTCAGTGACTACTGTCTTTGTTAAATTCAATGAAACAGACTATTCAGACATGAGCTGCACGCAGAAGCAAAACTATGTACGATGTGGGAAAGTACCACATTCTGGGATCCGTGGGCACATTTTTGTATCTGTGTTCTTCTTCCAGAATCCAGATTATGTTTCATCACACGCTTTTAGCCATTTTGATTGTTGTGGGGGTTGCCATGCACTGCCTACGCCAGGATCTGGTTGAAACTATCTTCATTAGCTGGAGTTGCAGCAGAAAAACAAATACCAAGTCAATAAAATAGCAAAAATAAATCAATTTTATTTCAGGAAGACATAACAAGGCACAGTAAGGGTTGTCCTAAACTACATAGTATTTACATTTATATTTCACTCACTAAAGAAAGTTCAGATATGTGTTTGAAAAGTCTGAAGGACATGAGCCGGACAGCGTCTTTAGGATTCTGATCATATAGAGAAAAGAGGCATTTGACAGTGTTACTTAACAGCCATTTAAGCCTTTAGAAAGTTAAAGGAACCATCTTCATGCAGATGCTGAGAGGAAAACCACTGAAAACTGTGTGCGGAAGATATATAAGTCATCATCAGCACTTACCATTAAAAGGAAATGCTACAATTGACCAAAGTCAACAATACATTTAACCACTAGAGTCAGGAACCCCAAAATGTGAAGATCAACCAGGTTAAGCAGCTAACCAAAATCACAGAGGACAAACACGCAGTCAGAACAAGCCGCTGAAATGAACAAGGGGCCCTAAAAGTTTTATTTTGTTCGGTTGTTGGCACAGACTCGAATGTTTTTATCCTGGACCGCTGTGACTCAGAGGGAGGTGATTGTCAGGAGGGAGGTTTTCTAGATTTCTTCATATTCCTGAGCTTTTCCTGTCTCACCGTCTCACCCTCCAATGAGGACAGTTCAGATATCCGTTGGATGAAAGAGCGAGAGGCTCCAGCCACTGGGTCTGGGTACACCTGGTCTAAAGAAACGCCACAAAGAGAAGGAGAGGGAGGAGAAAGGAAGAATGGATGGTCAAAAGAGATGGTGGGACTTAAAACTAGAACAATAAACTGTATTAAAATTAAGCCATGTCCTTGAGTATACTTAAATCCAGTCAGGCCTTTCAAATAACTTACTTTTCTGATTTTCCTTTACACTCATTGCGTGGTGAGTGGGAATATTCATCTTAGGCCTGCAGTACAGAGGATAAACACATTTATTTTCAAAAAATTTGAGAAAACCACCTGTTTGCTTGCTCAGGTTTAGCTCAGAAAAAAACTAAAATACCTATTTAGCTTGCAGCTTTCCACTGAAAAGTTGTTCTTGCCACTGAGGACTAAATTGGAATGAATGGGAACAGCTGAATTGGTCACCGCATGTCTTCGAGGGTAACTGGAAGACATTTACAACACACCACTTGAAACACAGTGTGTGCCTCCAGGAAACCTTCATTTTAAAAGTCGACACAATGATTGCTTTTATCTGTGCAGCTCTCTTTAAAAATACAGCCTCAGTTCCTGAAAAGTTGGGATAGCGTTTAAAATGTAACTGAAAGTAGAAGGAAAATGCAAATAGCACAACAAACGTCAGAAAACAAATTCAGCAAATATTCAATTCTGAGCTCATCTCAAAAGGACGAGGGACAACAACAGGCTGGATAAGTAAATGGCGCTGAAAATATATCAATCTTAACTCGATCAAATGTACCATGAACAGGCATACTGAGAGCACCTCAGAGAGGCAGAGGCTCTTAGAAGTGGTCATAGGTTCAGTATTCTGCAAAAAAAAAAAAAGGTCCACATGTATTGTCTGTGAACGTTGCCATGTCGTTCTCAGCTTTGCGCATTTCTAAAGAATCGACTAAAAGAAGTTTAGTCTATCTATGTCGTGCGTTCTGAGTCCAGCAAATGCCTGTACTCTGCTTTGATTTCCATTCTACACACTATCCAAGCTTTTCTTTTTTTTTTTACTGGGCCTGTACATGAGAATAAAAGCACATCTAGCAAAGCGATGTGGACTGGCTGGTTACCCCAGGGTGAGGGAGGGCCCCGCCCCGCTGCGGGACAGCTCCTTAGACAGGCTGAGGGGATGCAGGTTAGCAGGCCGCTGCAGGCGGTAGTCTCTTGGCAGAGGAGGGATGAAAGTCCTGGTCCTCTCTAAACTCGCACCTAAGCAACATGAAAGCCATGAGCATTTCAGTGTATCTGCCATCAATGCATTCATTTGTAGCAAAAGATGGCAGCCAAAGGTAAAGTAGTACATGTGTTTTTCTAAAAGCTGAAGAGTTGATCTGAGGGATCTATATGTGGTGACAACTCCACCTACTGGCAGTTAGTTTGCATGAGCGCGAGGCAGACCCTTATATTTTGTCAAAGCTGTTAGAATAAAAAAAGAAACTTCTACCAAGCATGGCTTACATGGTGTATCGAACAGAAAGTGCCTTCCACAGATGTCCCTCATGTGGTCAGTATTCTCTGGATCCAGTTTATTGTCTTTTCTTTGGCCTGGCGTCTTGTATTGCCTAAAGACAGACAGGGGAAGCATTAAAGTTTAATAGAAAGGAGACAGGAGACATACATATAGATTGTTTTTTTTTGTATTGTGTTTACTGCTTATGTTATAGAAGCCGCCAGATGAGTAACGAGGGATTTATGGTCAGCTAAAATGCATTCACGCGGAGGAACAATACTTTATCACTGTGAGAGGACTTGGGAGGTATTTGAAGCTAAAGCTTTGGAATATTCTGCACTAGCTGGCCTGATCTCAACTCAGTGGTGGTGCACTTTTTTTTCTATTAAAAACATTGCATTATATTTGTGGATGCTGTCCTCGGTGCAAAGCACCATTTAAGCTTTTGTTTATTCAAAATGAGATGCAACTGCCAATTAATGGTGATTCTTCAGCTTTTAAAAAAGATGTTTTATTATATGGATCACTATCAAAATAGCCATTATCTTTACAGTTAGCCGTGTGTTATTGGGGCCACTAGTAATGACATTACAAATGTATTTTGTCTCTTCAGACGTAGAAACCAAATGTTGATATTCATCATTGAACTTCCATGTTACGTGAATACAGGAAGGCCAAATCATTGTCATGAAGTGGTTAATAAAACGAGATGCCTTACCCTCTCAAATACACGGGTCTTACCTTCCCACTACGAAGCTGCTCAGTAAGCCTTGGCCATCCCTGGAGCCTACAACACACACACGGTTCAGACACACTCGCCGCTAAGCTAGCCGTTAGCCTTGGAATCATTTCCGAGTGTTTGTGGGGCTCGCTGACTCACTGCTAACGGGGGGGATTGCAGGAAAGTTCCGCAGTTGAGTTTGCCTGAAGGCGGCCCGTCCTCCACCTGCTCCCATCCCGAAGATCCTGTAGGCCTGGTACCCGGGCGGGTCGGGGCCGCGCGGGCTGCAGCTCGGGCTTCCCTCCGACAGCAGCGCCTTGGCGGCGGGCATGGAGGCGTTGACCCGGTAAGCCGTCATGTCGGGGCTGCCGCACAGGCTCCTGCCGCGGACATGGCGTTGGTGTGCGGGTGTGTGAAGCCACGGGTTACTGGGTTAACTGCATTTACTCGGGCCGCTAATGCTAAGCTGCAGCCCGCTTTGGGAAAACGGTTCGACTCATTGCGTCACCATGGAAACAAGCTTCATCACATTTCCCACCGTTTTTTTAAAAAACACTTTCCAACGCAGCTGTTCTTGATAATTTCGTAAGTCATGTCAGCTATCTCTAATCCATAAATTCTTACAAAATATATATATATATATATTCATTTGTAAAAAATTTTTTAGAAAAAACTAGAGTAGAGTATGTATGCTCTACTAGTTCTAACGCATGATCAATGAGAAAGACAAGACAAAATCACTTTTTCGTATTGTTTTATTGTACATCAAGTCCAATGAAAAACCTGAAAATTGAAGAGAAAAAAGTGTTTAGTAATAGTAACAAAAAATATTTTTCATCTGAAAAAAGCAGGTCATACAGGTTACATCTGGCCATTGTTCAGAAAGCTGTAGTGTTCTACAGCATATATGTGGTTTCAGACATAATTGGCTTATTTACAGCTGTGTTTCAGCATTGTCGATAAGACGGGGAAAAAAGAATATGCATCATTAACCACATATTTAAGTTAATTTAAAACACTTTTGTGTCAGCACTACAACTCACCACAACTTTAGTTCATCCTTCGGATCATTCTGTTGATCTGATCCTCCCTGTTGCCAGCGTCACCTCCCTCCACAAAGTGTTTGGTCTTCTTGTTCATTCCACCGCGGGGTGACGACAGCTTGAACGGCCACAAGAAGTTGTTGGCGGGCTTAAAGTTCTTGCCAACTGTGTAGATCTCATGGATGAGATCCTCAACACAGATGATACCATACTTGCCTGCAGATGAAAAAGTAATGTCATTGTCACAAAAAAAAAAAAAGAGGGAGAAGAACAGATCGTACTTCTACAAGCCAACAAAGTGAGAAAAAATCTAACAAGTTTATGATCGGCTACATGTTTGAAAAGCTTGTGGTTTCAGACACAACTGGCAAAGTTTCAGGGTTTTCTCACCAAGGTCGATAAGACGGGGAAAAAAGTGTGCATCATAAACCACAAAGCGTGTCAAAACTTCATCTGAAAGTATGGTGGGGTTAACCATCCACAGTAGAGCCGAACAACAGATGATGTGCGTTCGTATCAAACTAATAAACCAACCCCCTTACATCATTCTTGAGTAATTCTCCTTGATTTGGAAAGGCATTAAAAGTGTGCAGAAACTGTTTTTCATCACATCATTTCATACCGAGGGCCTTTTCCACCAGGGCGTTGTCTGTGAGGGCAATGCGCTGTTTCCTCATTCTGCCATGGCCACGTTTGTAGATGAGCTCACGCACAGACTTCAGGTTGGGGTACCTGAGAGAACATGAAAGCAGTTTAAAATAAAACGTGTGCCGCTTCAAAAACATGGTCATGTGGCACAAGATAGAAACGTAGATTTTCCTATAAAACGGTACTGAGGTATTTAGAACCCAATCAACACAGCCTCATGCGGCTGAACATTGTAACAATACTGTCATCCTTCTGGCCACTTTAAAATGTTTAACTCGCTGCAGTCATGTCCAGCTTGATGTACCTGTCACACTGTCCAGATCAGTAAATGAGGATTAACTGGAGAGCTGGAAGCCCATACGAGAAAATGTGCACATATACAGATCACAAAAGGTCACATGGTGGGTAAAAGTCTGTCATGTCAGGCAACCCAGATCTGGTTGAGAATAATTCAATGTAAACATTAAAAGTCTCAGGCCTAAATAGTATCAGGTTTTGCTTAAACAAAGTTTCTGGTTAGTTGTAATATTGATAATTAGCTCTTCTTCTGTTGCTGTGTTAAAGGTGCTACTGACTGAGGGCCAAAGAAACATGCATGTACAGATTTTCATTAGAATCATGGAAATGTGGTTTCAGACAAAACTGGCAAATTTTCAGCTGGTATTCACCATGGTCGATATGATGGGGAAAAAAGTTCAGCATCATTAACCACATTCCAGAAAGGAACCTCCAACTCTGCCCTCCATGTTTCTTTATGCTCTCCAAGCTCGACAGGTTTCACAGCAAAGATAAGTTTGTTCACATTACACACTGTCCAGAACCCAGAACCTCACCCCCAAGCGATGTAGGGCTCTGCGATCCTCAGCATGTTGATGGAGGCCTTGTTCAGCTTGACGAATACACCATTGAAGATCTGGCGCAGACGCATCAGCTGCAGAACTTTGCGGACCTTTGGGCTGACTCCGTTGATACTGAAAAGCAAATATTACTCTTGATTAACACTCAAGATGGTCAGTAAAACACTCCACTTTGAACTATTGGTGGTTTCAGAAAATCATTGGCTTATGTTATAAATCAGTATCACCATTGTCGATAAGTCGGGGAAAGAAAACACATCATTAACCACTCATATCAACCCCTGTACAGAGAATATTTACATGGATTGCTACTTTAACCAAATGTGGGCACAGCAGACACAGGTAATTAAAAAGAATCAGTTAATTGCTCAATTTTTTGCATGTTCAGACTTGTACTGATGAATTTCCTTTAAAAAAACACTAAACTATTGATGTTTCTGCACATCCTGTTGTACAGGTCAGACAATGTTTCCATGTTCACATTCTGTGTCTATTAACTACTATAATTCAAGGACCTCCATTTAATCAAGGCTCAAACCAACGGATGCTGAGAGAGCATTGGAATACAACAGCACCATCGGGGTCAACATTACTATAGTTAGTGCTTGTAGCAGCACAAAGTGCTCTGCTTGCATTTGATCAAAGCAGCTCAACTAATTCACAAACGCTCGCATAGAAACACCCAAAGAGGAATTCCAGTCTAATCAAAATGATACTTCCTGTGATATTAAGATTGCCTAACGTTAAACATTGCCATCTATAGTCAATATATTGCATCTGCAATACGAGAAGTAGCAATCCATGTAAATGTAATCAATGTATCACAACAAAACTACAAACGACTCACCCTCTGATCCTGACCACAAAGGCCAGTTTAGGTTCAGATGGCACGTAGAAGTTTCCCACTTTGCGAGCCATTCTGGCAAGGCGAATCTCACGCCTGTACATCTGCTTGTACTCCTTGTGGTACTTCTCAGCCCTCTTGTAGATCAGCTTCCTGGTCACCTTGCGGACCTAGAGAGCAGGATAACACATCCCCCTGAAGTTCATATTTAAATGGACAAGATTTTGCCATGCAAAAATAACTCAAAACTGCAGACATCCACCTTCTGTTACCTTTTTTTCAGCCAGAATCTTCTTGATACGCTGGGCCTTCATGGCGGCGAAGGCCTTTCGCCTTTTTAAAAGGCTCTCAGGGACCGCCGGAACCTTTTTTCTGTTAAAACGTTACCACATATTTAGGATTTTAAAAGTTCCACGCTGACAGGGTCTGAAGAGGGGGGGCAGTTATCTCACTAAACTAGCGCAACACAGCTAAGTGGCTGCTAGGTTGCTAGCCTTACATGTTGCCGGCTTTCACCGAGATTGGTTTACCCAAAAAACTAAAAACTTCGCTAGGAAGCAAGTTAGTCCAATAGCAAAACCAAAGCATGTTTACACGGTTAATTATCATCTTGGTTCTGATAATAAGACACGGAAGCTTTTTCTAAGTGGCACGAAGACTGCCATGTTGTACGCTGCTAACACTTACACAGACTGTAATGTACATTTCTTGATAAATATTCAACATCCTTAGTCATACTACCAAAAATAGAGTGTGTGTGAACTAAACATTCAGTTTGTGCAGTAAAAGTAATCTAAATTGGCTGTTTCAATGCTGGATGTACATAGATTCTATTCAGACGAAAAGACTCACTCTGCGTCCGCCATTGCGATCACCGAGAAAGAGGAATTTTCTTTTGCGCATGTGTGGGTTAAGGAATTTTGGACCTTCACGGGTTGGCCTTCCAACTGCCTGACTGCAAAATTCATCAAAGTAAATACAATTAATTAACCTTTATATATAAAAAAAACTGGGTCTGGTAAGGTAACTTGCCAAGTTGATGACAATTACAAGAAAAATATGATTAATAATAAAGTACACGTAGAATGCGACATTAAACTGTATTACACCTTTAAAATGGGATTTGTGTCCATCTCAAGGCTCCATGTGATAGTTGTGCCCTCTTAAACCAGCAGAGAGAGCTGCTACCTCACCTATCCGAGCAGGATAGAGGAGCATCTGGGTCGCAGAGGGTTGCCTTTGCAGGTCTAATCTCGCAGAAGGTGAGAAGCACGTAGAGTTCCTTGCTGCGCGGGCGCAGCGATCCTTATGAAAGCTAGACACAATGAAAGCCATCATTGATGGAAGACATATAAACTATATGAATTCAGAAAATGTTTATTAAAGAAATAGTAATGAATTCAATAAATGGATATAATTCAAAAGATTGCCTCAGATACGCTTTAACTATTTCTTACTTGTGTATTTCTATTTGGCAAACGTTTGCAATTTTTTATTTATTTTTGCAAACGTGAGCATATGCCAGTATCATCACATTATTACCACTAATTTACATCTGTGCACTTTTGCTCTCTAATCATAAGAGGAAGCGGGGCACTTTTTTCTAAGATTTTAAGATTTTAAGATTTCACTCAAATGAAGGCATCTTTCTTCTTATATATTAACCCCACCACCACCACCACCACCACCACCACACACACACACAGGCGACACGCCCACCATAAGAAGGCAGGACATCTGATAGGCTGCTGTCAGAGGTTGCACAACATCGAAAATGATGTAAACAAGAAAAGAAAAGCAGACATCACGTTAAACGCTCTTCGGGTGTCCCTGCTATTCGTGGGAAGGGCATGTCTGTGTGCCTCCCAAACTGGTTCCCTTTAAATATCCCCAAAACACATTAGTTTCATTGTCCAGCCCTTCATACATCTCTGTGAGCATAACCTCCCTTGCTGAAACACTTTCTCTTTCCAACATAATGGCCACCGGTGTGCCCAGGCTGTATTTAGAACAACTACAATGAATGAAAAAAAGTGTATATATCCATAAATATATCATTTTTAATTAAATTTGTTTAAAGATGGTATTGAAGACAATGTATTGGTTTGTCTTGTTACATGTCTGGACAATAAGGGCTGGACAATGAAAAAAATGGCAAGGCTGATAATTACTCCATAGTCTTTAGCAAATCTAAGGACTAAAGTAGGGATAAAAATCATGCCACTTTTTATTCACGGTCTTCAATCTAATCATGTGCAGAAGTTACACCAATAAACTGTTAAAGGGGGAAAGGGGGGGCAGCATCTTTTATATGAGGCGGTAAAATAGTGAGTCGTACTTCGGCAGGAAAAAAAAAAAGAGCCCACTGCAACAGATTAGTGTTGGAATATTTTCGCTTACATCACCTCCACAGTGGAGTGGATGGACCCGGCGCTTCCCTCTGACAGGCGCCTGACGCCCCCTCCCACTGGGTCTGACGGTGATGGGTGGACTGAATAAATAGGGAGATGAGGCTGGGAATGAAGTGAGTGGCGGAGCAGCGGCAGCAGGGGGAAGGACAGCAGAGCCAGAGTAGCTGCTCGTAACTCACTGCAGCTGTGCGTTAAAGTGGCAACTGGACTCCGACCGAGCAGCGCCTCGACCCTCTTCGAATCCCGACCCGGGGCTCTTGCACAGCGCTTTTTCAGCCCTTTCCCCCCCTCCCCCTCGTCCCAACATCCGCGTCCTGCGCTGCGACCGAAGTTTTGCCGGTGTTGCCCCGCGCGTCTGCAAACAGGTTGGAAGAAGGAGCCATCCTCCCCCCTCACCCCTCCCGCCCCCCCTCACCCGTCATCCGCCGCTTCTCTGAATTGATAGAAAGCTCGGCCAAGATGATGATGATCATCGTTGCGGAGTTCTTCGTGGTGATTCTCAAGGTGCTCTGGGCTTTTGTAACAGCCGGGGCGAAGTGGGTGGTGCGGCCCAAGGAGAAGAGCGTGGCGGGACAGGTGTGCGTGATCACCGGGGCTGGAAGCGGCCTCGGCCGGCTGTTCGCCAAGGAGTTCGCCCGGAGGCGAGCCATACTGGTCTTATGGGACATTAATAGCCAAAGCAACGAAGAGACGGCCGAGATGGTGCGGCAGATATACCACGAACTGGACACTCCCGTCTCCAAAGAAGGCAAGTCTCTCTTTTTTTTAAATGATTTAATTTAAATGTCTTATTGTGCATTCTCCCTTCAGTGAATTGCATGGAAAAGATGCTCAGTGTTGCACACACAGTTTCAGATTGTAGCTCTCTAACTGAAGCCGTCCAGTCCCTAAAAGGGAGCAGCACAGCTGACAAGTGACTGCTCAGTGTGATGGGGAAAAATAATTTTTGTATGATTTCTAACTTGATCATTCAGGTCACTTGGTTACACAAACTGTTCATTTATAAAACAACATATTTAAAAAAAAAAAAATGTTTCCATCTCTTCCCTTGTAGGGCCTGTTGGAGGGGTAGAGGAAGTCCCCACTTTCCAGCCCCAGGTCTACACCTACGTGTGTGACGTGGGGAAGCGGGAGAGTGTGTATTCCACAGCGGAGAAGGTGCGTCGAGAGGTGGGCGACGTGGACATACTGATCAACAACGCTGGAGTCGTCTCAGGCCATCACCTTCTGGAGTGCCCCGACGAGCTGATCGAGCGCACCATGGTGGTCAACTGTCACGCACACTTCTGGGTGAGCTGCTGCCTCCACCGTGCCCCCACGGCTACACGGTTCAGTTTTATTTGTACAGAGTTGCCGGTTGTGTTTACTTTAAGCTCAAATTTTCCACTCTGACTTGTATCATTCTTTATGTTCGTAAACCCCCCCCCCCCATTCCAGACTTGAGAATCTGAGGTGTGTATCTGTGTGTGTATGTGTGCTTCCAGGAGAGAGAAAGCATGACCAAAAATAGCCATCTTTCATGTTTAGATCTAAGCTCCACTAGATCTCTTTCCTGCCAGAGGAAAGTCATGGGTTCGTCTTTTATAAACCTTGATTTTTTTTTTTTTGCTACAACTTGGCAGCCCCAGTCAGAGATGATCCTTGAGGTATGTCAGCCCTTCCTCTCGTCTCCTTTGCTGCACAGATCTGCACAAACCTGACATGTGTGGTGGAAGCGGGGCTCTGTGTGCGGGTTGGATCTGCCTTGGATCAACTCAGCACATTTTGTTGGCAGGTGGTGATTTGATGTGCATCACATTGAGGTCTGGCTTTGTTCCCCGGCCCTCTCTGTGCCCACTTATCTTGCAAGATATGTGGACTTGGAGTCAATATGTTGCACTTCAGATAAGCGTCAGCTGCAGAGTTGAAGGTGTGTTTTGGGAGAGAGAGAGGGAAAAGAAAGGCAGTGGTTAGAGCTTGAAAAAGCGGTTTCGACATTTAGTGAGAGCAGCCTTACCTACGGATTTATATATATATATATATGTATTGTGTGTGAATAAATATAGATAAATTACAGACACTTTCCTGGTTGAATGGCTCCAAACTAAGTGCCATCTCTACATTAGTGTCTGTTCTGTTAAGGAAGCCATTGTACTCTAAAAAAAAAGAAGTTATTTATTTTTGATTCTTTTTGCTTAGGCTCTCCCTGCTGGCTCTTTTTGTAGAACGCTTAATTCTCAGCGATGCCATGAAACCGCAGTGATTTGAAGCTCTCTAATTGAGCATGAAAATCTCTTGTGTTGTCAGACAGGTTGTGCATTTCCTCCCCAAATAAATGCTCCATTCATGCGCCCCTCTGCAGGCTATCTCCGTGTGCTTTTACATGAGGATTTGGAGTCGGGATCCAGTGGTTGAGAGGGGGAAGAAATGGGATTCTTAACAGAGGACTGTGTTTGTGTTGTCCTGTATTCTCTGAAAAGTGTGGTTACTTTAGGGATGGGTGGAGTGATGGATGAAGGAGGATTTAATGAATGGCGACGGCCCGAATAGAGGATGTGGTTCATTAACGACACAAACCGGATGAATAGAGTTGAGGCTAACAGACCTGTCCGCCGTCCCCTCTTACAAACAGTACAGTTACTCACTGCATGCAGGTGTTTCGCTTTTAAGCAGCAGGTTTTAAATTGGTTAACTTTGCTTTATGATTCATCAGAAAATGTTTAGGAGGTAGACAAAGTGTGGTCGTTTTCACTGCTAAGGTCCTTCACACTTTTAGATGGAACAAACAAAAAACACAGCACCAGGATTCTTTTTCCTTCCTTTCCCTTTTTCTTCCCTGGACCAATAATCTAATAAGAGGATTTGTCTTGGGAAGCCGAAGAGATCCACTTTAATTTGGACATTTAATTAACGGATTAGTGGAATTGCTGGTTTCACTTTAAAAAAAAAAAAATTAGATTTGGATGTTTCAGCCTGTGACATGTGGGCTGTGGTGAGTTTTCTTGCTCTGGAGGCAGATGAAAGCGACCACAAGCTTTTCTCTTTCCTCTGACGGTCGCTCAAATTATTTAAAGATCCGTTTTTGTTCAAGAGCGAGACGGCTGAAGCTAAAGCTTTACACCGATGTAACTGGCAAAGCTAAAAATAAAAAGTGTGTGTGTGGGGGGGGTCTGAGTCCAGATTTAAATATTCATATTTCCTTTGTTGGATGTTGTATTGGAATAAGGCAAGAATGGAGACCAGATGAGGAAAGTGTGTGGCTCTGGTGAAAGTTGCCCAGTTCAGACTTTGCTTCTTTTTATCTCCAGCTCCTCTGACAGTGGCTGCAGCTGCATGGGAGTCAGTCAGCCCCCCCCTTTAGGTTTTCATGAGGCAAGGGGAATTTGTCTGCTGCTTTGATTAGTCCAGCTGGCCATCTGTGATGTTTCAGCTCACGTTTGAGTCATACTGGCACATGGGATGCGGAGTTGTTTTGCTAGTGACACCACTGTTTGTGTTTGAGGATTAGTAGGTATCTAGTGGAATGACATGAAAGGAAGTGATCTCCCGCCTCTTGAGCTGGTTATCCAACAGGTGGTTAGCAAACAATCAACTATTATTTCCCCCCTCTCTCATGGGAATCCCACTCCTGTTGTTAAAGGACATGAGTTCTTGACATGGCGGGAAAAGAGCAGAGGAAAGAAAAGGGGAAGGAAGGAAGGCAATGCCATCCCATCTACAGGCGAGGCGAGAGGCTAATGGTAAGCTGCTGCTGACCCACTTTATCTGACAATTGGTTTCTTGTCTGTGGATCAGCTTGACAAGATGCCAGGCGACAGGAGCCAAGTTCCGCAGGCCGCATTCCTGCTGTAGCCAGAGAAAAGAGGCAGCCAGGCAGAAGGGTCCTACTTGACTGGTTTTCTAAGGGCCCCTCCTCTGGCCTGTGCACCTGTACTCCTCCATGAGGCGAGCCATCACGCCCCCCCTCTGGCCGTACCTGCTCGTGTCTCACAGAGCCAGACTTGGGCCGCATCTAGGGCTTATTTCAGAACGTACTTTTCTCCAAATGATCCCTCCCCTATTAAGAATGTTGTTCACCAAACGCTGAAGCTTGAAACATTTATTGAGCTTTTTAGTATTCCAGTGGTTTCAAACGTCTCACGACTGTGTTCTGAAAATCAAAGAGTTTTTCTCCCCCTCATTTCATAAATAAATTCAAATTTTTTTTTGTTCTTTTCCTTTCCTGCTTGACAAAAATGTGTCAGAATTATCATAGAAGTTCTTCCAAAAGTGAAACAAAATCACTTTTGGATTAACTTGTAATGTTGCTTTTTATATAGAACATGCAAAGTTGATGGAGTCAAATAATCTCCCCCCCCCAACAAAAAACCTAACCCTAAAATGATGACAATTGCTAAGCTATTATCAGGAATAAATGTTCTCTGGTCATAATCGTAATGCTGATGGCTTTCTGCTGGATGCCGGGTTTCTGTGTGTATTGAACGCCAGGTCCTCATTATTGTGACCGCTTTCTGCCTAAATTGGTTCCCATCAAGCAACCAACAGATTTGAGTTTTAGTTAACTGCAGCAGAGAATGACTTATTAACGTGAACGGCCTGCATCAATCATCCCTGATGACCACTAAAATCGACCCAGCCCACTCAAGTTCCGTGATTTGCTGCAGGAATCGGCAGAGCTCTTGTTCTCAGGCAGTTTCTTTTTTTTTTTTTTTTGTTTTTTGTTTCCTCTCCCTCGTCCTCACTCTCTTATCCAAAGAGAAGTCAGACCAATTAAATGGCCATCTGGTTCTACACGGAGGCCAATATTTTTGTTCATATTCCTGTTGGTCAGGCGTTAGCACTAATGCAGCCTGACACCCCAGCTGCAAGACGCTTTGTGTGGCTCAAATGCTCCTGGGGGCGCGCACCAATTAGGGGTTGCAGCGGGCAGGGCACCCCCACTCGGGCCGCCGAGGCCCGGCTGTGTCAGCGGGTAATTTAGCGGAACAAGGGAGCGTTGAGACCCAATTACGGCGGCTCTGATGTAAGACACGAGCCCCCGGTTGCCTTCACACATTTAGTGTCTGAGAGGTCGGCAGGGGTCATACCCACATGCCAGAGCTGCCATGAGAAGCAGGACACCGCGGCGGGGGGGGCGGGGGGGGTAGCGGGACGGTTGGTCGCGCTGGAGCCCGTCTTCCAGTCGAGGAGAACGGTCTCTCCTCCATCAGTTCCGCTCCTCCATAAGAACGGCCCCTCCGAAAAACCACCAGGCTGAATCCGTGCGCTGGCTCTGAATGGAGAGCGGCGCGCCAGATCCAGCCGTTCCAGATCCAGCCGTTCCAGATCCAGCCGTTCCAGATCCAGCCGTTCCAGGTTGTCTAAAAGTTTCTGTGGGAGTGGGAAGCTTTGGCTCCAGTCGGTAACGGGCATATCTTAAGGTAATACTTCATTTGCACGCAACTGCAACTCCGCTTCCTCACGCAGCGCCCTTCTGGCTCGCGGAGGCCTTTCTCAGAGATCTCCTCGCCCCCCCCCCCCCCCCCCCCCCCCCCCCCCCCCCCCCCCTCCGCGCCGCGGGGCCCTTCCCAGAGAACCTCCTCCCCCCCCCCCCCCCCCCGCCCTTTCCCTGGGCCCCATCGTTTGATGAGGCGAATATTGCAACGACCTGAAAATTAATGTCCTGGAAAAGTGCAGATGTTTGGAGCCCAGTCAGATCAGTTGTACCTGGCTCTGAAACCATGAGGTAATTGTTTCTTCCTGGTTGGCGGGGGGGTCTGATCCGCTCCCCTCCGCTTTAGACGCCGGCGCAAAGGGGATGAGTCTCAACAAAGATAGGGCTGTAAGTGAGTAGGTCTGAAACGGTTAATCCCCTGCAGCTTTAACGAAGCTTCTCCTCCCTCGCCGGTGGCGGGAGATGCTGGTACCATGCTCTCCCTGGCTCTGTGTAAATGTTTACGAAGGAGGCTGGATCCGCTTTCTATCCAGGCTCACAAACTCTACCATCCCATAACACTGTTGCCTGTCCTTCTTAGTTTAAATAGTTTTTTTTTTTGCTGTTGTTCCTTAAGTCAGTCTAGTTACTTGCAAGTCTTAGTTCTTATGTTGGGTAGCAGATGTACTCTGCTGTTTGGGGTGGATGGAGGCTGTTGGGACTCTGGCGTCGTGGCCCTGGTGTTTACTCCGTCACCTCAGTAACATTTTAAGCGCATGCAGGCTACGTGTATTGTTCTTCACCATGGCAGCGCATATCTGTCTTAAATTATTAGCTCGCCTACCAACAAAAGGCCCGCGGCTTCTTTGCGGACCTCCTAGGGGGAGAGTGATTGGTCAGTTCCTAACATCGCTGTCACATGCCACACCTGCTGATTGGCCCATGCTGTGTCCGAGGCAGTTGAGGAGGGGGGGGCAGTCGGCAAACGAGCGGAATGACGGACGGACTGGTTGCATGTCCCGCCGTCACCTCTGCGCGTCCGTGTTGGAGTTCTCGCCACATCTGTGAGGCCTAAAGGCACAGCTGGTGGAAGCCCTCCAGGGGTGTGTGTGTGTGTGTGTGTGGGGGGAGGGGGGGGGGTTGCACCGGTCCTTTCACCACAGAACCCGTCTCACTCACCCACCTGGCGCACTGTCCCGCTGAACGCCGCTCAGCCGCCGCACAGGGCCGTGTACGGCTGAATCGCATTGTTGGAGGCGTTGAGTGAGCGGAGGCCAGCGATTGGTGCTGTCACCGGCTCTTTAGAGCACGCCTCAAAGACAGGCATCAGATCTGTGTGGGAAAAAAGGAGGTTCAGGGGCAGCATCGCTGCTGGCCCCGTGAATCCACGAGGCGAAAGCTCTCGTCCTCCGTCTTTTCAACTCCTGATTCATACGGGGTGAACCATTTCCAATCTTTAAGCGCTATATCTGCCCCCGCGTTATGAATTCTCATTCAGATGCCTCGGTTTGGATCACCATGGAAAAGCGAGACAAACCAAGAGGGGGGGGGGAGGCAGAGAGGATCAAAGAGCGTTGGCACAGACAAACTGCACAAGTGAACTAACCTTCCCCTTTTCTTCCTCCTGCCCTTCTGTCTCCTCTGTCCTTCCCCCAGACCACCAAGGCGTTTCTCCCCAAGATGCTGGAGCTGAATCACGGTCACATTGTCACTGTTGCCAGCTCCCTGGGTTTATTCAGCACAGCTGGAGTGGAGGTCGGTATCATACACAACACCACATGCACATCCCATCGTTCCCACCGTCCAAAAGCGGGCCTTTTTTCTCCGGAGCCCTCGGGCTGCCAGCTAGCACACTGAGACCAGGGAGGTTAGGCCCCCTTTCTCTAGTTGTCCCTCCACCCGTTAAATTAAGGAACACAGATGAGTATTGGGAGTCTCGTATAGATTCCTCTATCTGGAGCAGTAGGGGTGTGGGGCCCCCATGGGGCATTGGCCCCGGGGCCAGAATGAGCTGACAGCTCCCCAAGGGACAGAGACATCTTCATCACTGCTTTTGTGAAAAACTCTGTTTCCACTCGGTATTCAGCTCACAGTCGCATTCAAAGGAAGCGGTTTCCCTTCCTATAGTTTTGTTATTTTGACACATGATAAAATGTTTCGTGGGGGGTAATTTTTCCCCACAACCACAGAGAGTAAAACAGTCCCCACCCCACATCCCTTTTTGAGGTTTTGATGATTTAAAAATAAAAACAGCCATTTATCCCCCCTGGCTATAGATGTTTTGTTTTTAAAACTGACAATCTCTGTGGACAGTGTTCATTTCCCAGTCATTACAGCTGGATATTTAAGCCGGTTTGCTCCACAGGCTCTCCGTTTTTAAGCCACTTGGGTAGTTTGAAATGACACGGATGAGGTTTCAGACTGTGTTGGTTTCGGGGAACCGGAGCCCTGGCCTGTCGTCTCTTTATCCTTCCCGTGTTTATCGACATGCATCTGTGTTTGCCCAAGACTATTTAAAAATGAGAGGGGGTGGGGGGGGGGGAAGAAAATCATTTCCACAGTAAACCACATCAAAACCTTCCCGCCGAGCAGGGCAGCGTCCTGATGCACCGGGGAAAAATGCTAATGAAAGCGTAGAGCAGCAGTCGGGCTGTGGCCGTATCATTAACGGCCCGGAGAGACCTCTGAGCCCCCCAGGCATGTTTGATAATGTTCTCTCTTACGGGGCTAATCTGTTCTCTCTTTGCTCCCCTTTTTAGGATTACTGTGCCAGTAAGTTTGGTGCCATCGGGTTCCACGAATCTCTGAGCCACGAGATCAAAGCCTCGGAGAAGGACGGCATCAGCATGACTCTGGTGTGCCCGTACCTGGTGGACACGGGGATGTTCAAAGGCTGTAGGATAAGGTGAGCCGCCTCTTTTTTTCCTCTCTCTCTTTCTAACAAAACCCTGATGCACGTAGGAAGAGTTTAGCACTTAAAGCATTTTAAAGTGTCTCAAACCCGATTTAAGCTTCAAGGCAGCTGCTGCTGATGTGCGTTTCTTTCTGTAAAGTGAGTTGTATTCCAAGAATCAACAGGCCGCTTAACAAAGAGGGCTAGTTTCATTCCCCAGGGAAAAACTCCACAGCAGGTGCACCTGGTCTACCCCCCCGCCCCCCCCCATCCCTAACTGCAGCTGTAATAGGCCTCACTTTGTTGGAGTACAGCAGCCCACACGGGGCTTTTCTTCCCCCCCCCCCCCCCCCCACCCCATCATTTAGCAGTAATCACTGCTGACGGTGCACATGTACTTTGTCACCAGCACTACTTTTTTCCACATGCTTGGCAAAGCCCTTCAGAGTGGTAAAAACTCCACTTTAGATAAATGAGAAAAAATGAACCAGCTGCAAGCTTTTTCTTCTCCGGTTCCTCTGACTTTGGTCATAAGTGGACTTTCTAATAATTTGCGTACATCAGTTATTAGAAATCGGAGTGAAAGTCTCTGTACGGTGGCCAAACGATATGTTTTTTTGTCCCTTTTCAGGAAAGAGATCGAGCCCTTTCTGCCTCCACTGAAGCCAGAGTTCTGTGTGAAACAAGCCATGAGGGCCATCCTCACAGACCAGCCGATGATCTGCACACCCCGCATTGTCTACATGGTCAACTTCATGAAAAGGTACGCTGCTCCTTTTCTTTCCAAACACACAACCAACCCCGTTGACGCTTTGTTACACAACTTTGATCTGTAATACGGATATATGGACTCTGCCCCCTAGTGTGGAGTATAAGAAATAGCTTTTTTAACTTTAATTTTCTTTCTCTGAATAGACAGATTTCCCTTTAGCAATGGAAGAGGCTAATGTTAGCATTTTCATGTTCAGTTTTGTAGAATGTGGATGGGATTACTGTGACAGAATGATCATTTGAGCATTAAAGAAAGCAGCTATTTGCTTGATTTGATTCTAGTTCTTTTCCTCTACTACCGATTCAACTTTGACATTTCAAATGAATAACAGAACAAACGAAATCCTATGCAGACACAACAGTTACATGCTCACTTCAACCCCGCCGTAATGATCCCTTGGCTTTTGTTGAACTGTGTGTGTGTTTGTGTGTGTGTGTGTGTGTGTGTGTGTGTGAACTAACCGTGACTCCCTCTGTCTCCGCAGCATCCTGCCCTTCGAGGCCATCGTGTGCATGTACCGGTTCCTCGGGGCTGACAAGTGCATGTACCCGTTCCTAGCTCAGAGAAAGGAGGCCATGAACAACAACGAGGCAAAGAACGGGATCTAGGGGCCGCTGCTTGTAAAACGGGCATTTAAACTCGCAAGCCTGAGGAAACAACCACTGAGGATGAAAAATGGGGAAGATGAAAGAAAAGACTGAATCTGGACTGGTGCACTTGCATTGAGCAAATGCAAAGGTTTACCATATTGTTCCTCTGGAACAAAGAAAGCTGTGTACTACACAAAGGTTATTTGACTTTTTTGTTGTTTTGTTTAAAGAAACCAACATCTATATATATACCGTCACTAGTTTTTGAAATCATAAAGAAAAGGTATCCAGTAATTAACTATTTACGTAATGTAGTCACCAGCCTTATCTAGTGTCATTGTGGAAATATACAGTATGTTACTGTACAAACAGTAATATTTTTTTCACTTATTTTTGTAGACATGCACTGTATTTTGTTTTTCTAAAGGAAGTTCTGATTTAATGTTTTGTTTTTGTTTTCTTTTCTTTTTCCCTACTGTCAGAATTTTCTGTATAGGTTTAACACAGCATTTCAGACTGCCCAATGTCTCCCCTACAGCTCAGACTTTTTAATTTAATACATTCTTCACACTTTGTAATTTCCCATATTCCATTTTAAGGCTTAGTTTAGAGACATGTAGCATATTTTCACATCGAGTTCACTTTCCAAATGGAATATTTAGTGGCCAGACCGTGACTGACCTAATCTCCGGTCACGGGACTCAAATGTTTCTCAGTGAGCCGAAGGCTCCCAACTAACCTCAACTGAAAAGTGCACGCGTGTCCTGGGTGGCAATCGCCCATTCCAGATTGAGAATGTGTTGCTAGAGGAGAAAGTGAGAGGATATGTATTCTTGTTTTTTTCTTTTTTTTTTTTTCTTTGTTTCTCTTATGTGTCTGTTTTCTAAGAATTGTGGTGTTATGTATTGTAAATTTACCTGTTACCAATATTGTGAGAAAAAAAAGAAGATAAAAGGGGTGGGAGGTTTAATTCCAGTTGAAACCTCTGTCCCATCACTGATTTGTGGTTTAGGGAAATTGTATTAATGACTTTAGAGGACTCCCCAGCTCCCCAGAGAGAAGAACGGTGTCTCTAGGAGTCCTGTCCTGTGAAATGTGTATGTTTAAATGTTGTGAATACTCCAATGTCCCAAATAAGTGTCCCCCACCACATTTGATGAATCAATATTTTCTATACTTTTCCCCCTCCCTCTTAAGTTTTTGAATTTCAGCTAAAGTACATTCCAGTAGGCATCATTCCTTCAGTCAGTGATAAGCCTAAATTCTCTACCTCTTAATTGCCTTTATTTTTATTTTATTTTATTTTATTTTTTTGCTTTGGACAGTATAACATGAGTCTTTTTTTTTTGTTTGTTTTGTTTTTTTTGTAATATTCTGAAGACTGCTCCACAGCAGAGCAAATGTGGTTCCACTGTTTAGTGTCTCTGCCTAACTTAAATTAATAAAGTGATTTAGATTATTACACGGTGTGCTGTAATGCTTATAAAGACTAAATGAGGGATGGATTTCATCCCGGCCGTCCTCGCTCGGGTTTTCATACCAACGCTTGTGCCTCAGAGGAAAAAAACACCTGGCAAACAATTGGACTGAGTCACCAGTGTGCAACCCAAGACTGAACGAAACAGTTATTCAGCAGAAATGCCTCCCTGGGTTTGACTGTGAATCACGTGAGTGGCAGAAAAGAGGATCTTCCGCGCGGCTGATTAATTTCTTGTACACAGCCCTCATTGTTTGGATGACACCCACCCAGCCCTTTCCTCTGCTGTACAGCTACTCTTTTTACTAGTATCGGTGTCATTGTCCTCCCACGCTGTACCGGGGTGAGTCAACGAGGCCTTACATATGGGTGTTGGCTTAAGAGGGTCAGAGTTATTTACTTTTGTGAGCAAACGAGTAGGCCAAGGAATTTAGTTTTTTCTTTAAACTCAAAAGTCCAAAATGGTCATGAGGTCAGTGTTGGGCATGTCATCAAAGAATTGAAAAGTGGGTACTGAGGTTCTCATGCCGTGAGTTCCATAAATGGCTGGCAGGTCACAGTTAATGGCCTGATGCATAAGTGGGCTGGTTTGTTTGTCAGATGTTCGTCAGACCTCTGAGAAGGCCCACATCTGGGAGCGTAACGATGAAATTCCAACCGCTTCTTGCACAACTATTAGTTAGCTGACCTTTCGCTGAAGGAAACGAGAAGAAAGACTCACTTCCTAATTAGTGTCAGCAAAGATGTCAGGAGCCGGATTCCGGCTCACATGCTTAAACTGCCGGGTTGTTTGTGCAGAGCTGGAATTGTCTCCTCAGACACTGAGAAGAGGGACTGCTTTTAAGTTGACTGGAAAAGGCTGACAAATTGATGGAATCTTTCTAATGGGCAAAAGAAGAAGAAAGATTTAAGCATGAAGGCTGAAGTTGAAAGATTTCTTTTCTTTAAACATGTGTACTCCTGAATTTTCTGCATACGGAGTTCTATCGAGACTTCCTTAAAAACCCTGTTTGCATTTGGACCAACAGAAAAAACTACACCAACAAATGTCCCAATGCTTTCCTGTTTTTTCTTGATACCTCTGTTCAGCTCAGCTGAAGGTCACCTTTGTCGTATTCTTAATTCAATAAGGAGCCAATACTCTGTCCCTCTGAGATCCAGTCTTTTCACTTACCCGATTCCTATAAACCTAATTGGTTGTTCCCATAATAACTTCTGTAACGTGTCACCCTCCTCCCCCAAAACCCATAAGTCTCCTAGTTTAATGTTCAATATTTTATATCTCTCCTATTTTCATCTGAAGAAGATTCATGATTTGGAAATCTCTGCATTCTGTGTGTGTTTTACAGAACCGGGGTGCAGAGACGGCCTTAACCTGGCATGTTTAAACAAACATGGGGTTAAACTGTAAACCAAATCAATTACATGTATGAAAGGAGGAGCATTGTTTTAGGATTCTTTTTTTTTTTTTGTTTGGTTGTTTGTTTGTCCCCCCCGCTCCAGCAGAAAATTTTAGGAATGCCAGAGTCATGAGCCTTGGCCTAAAGGCTTGAACGGCAAAGCTTTCCAACGTTTTCGAGTCCTGTCCAAGACCTCCGTACATCACCTCTCTCTCTCTCTCTTTTTTCTTTTAAGCATCACAAAGTCAAATAGATTTCTCGGTACAACTCGACTGTCTAGTCTACGTGGAATCAACTCCTAAATGTCGTTATTTAGAATAATCTAAGCAGTTAAAGTTGTCTGGGAGCCGGGATGGTCCGTGTGACACCAGACACTCATCGCTCTGCAGAACAAATCGGACAGAAAACGCGCTGTGAGGAGGGTCAAGAGGAGCTCGCAGTTATGCACCAACATGTCGGAGCCCTAATCGGGGCCGGATGAAGCTGCTCAGTGACAGTTCAAATGTAACACGAGGGAGAGGCGGACAGTCAGGTTCATTCCCTCCGTACACAGAATCTATCTGCACACAGAGCAGCCGCCTCCAGCTACGAGTCTCTGTCTAACCCTCTGGTGAAACGGGCCTTTGTGCTGCCTCATAAAGTAGTCACAATAATGCTTTGACTAATCTGACCGAAAAAAAAAAAAGAGGTAAACTTTTAGGATTTTGCTTGAATTGTAACTTGCTATCTCTTGGATTCCCTCACTCTTTTTCATCTGAACGGCGCTCTAATTCCGAGGACCTCTGGGGGAGGTTGATGGGACATAATTCAGACGGAAAAATCAATGATGCTGGCAGTTGCTTTTGCATGGCACGGACAAGCTCCACGGTCCCATTGATTTAGTTCTATTCTGGGCACGATAAGGCTCACTTCCCGCATTGGCGGGCCAGAGACGGGGAATTCATCTTGGGCCGAACACGGCCTCAAGCTGGTCTAACCACTACCTGGACAAGCTTCTGGAATAGAGATCTGCTGCTAATGAACAGGCTTGGCGCTCCTCAATGGCAAGCAGATGGTGCTGCCAGCTGAGTCCATTAGTCAGCGCTGCTGAATTAGACTGCCGCTGTCCCATTCGCTCATCCATCTCGCTAATGGGGGGAAAGCAGAGGGGCTTCGGTTGCGCGCCGCCAGTTAGCGCGCTTGTGGACAGCAGATGTTGTGGGGCTGTGTGTAGCGACCAAGGAAGGGGGAAGACGTGATGTAACATAAGTGATAAGATGATAAGAGGTGTACTATTAAGTTAAACATTGCGTGCCGCCACCTGAAAAAGCCAGAACATTCCATCGCTGTTGCCACAGAAATGAGGTTTGTTAAGTGGGTTTATTAACCAGATGTCCTGACACTTTGCGGTCATTCATTTGTAAGGCTGGATTGTCACACAGCACCAGGAACTCGGGCCATCGCTTCTTGTGCAACGTAACAAAGAGGGAAATTGTTTCAACTGAAAATGTTGATCTAAAGCCGGCGCACCTTTGACCTAAGGTGTTCCTAAAACGTGGGGGGGAAAAGGACCTTTATTCGAACGCTAAACACAGGATCCAGTCCATGGACTTTCAAAATGCCCGAGCGATTTGAAAGCATCGGCCTATTTCAAGTGGAGGTGCACGGATGTATCCACGGACTTCGTCAAAAAAAGAAAAAGCGATCGGTGTAACCCTGGTCAAAATCAGGGTTCACAGAGCCGCTGGTACCATCCGTCACATCATTAATAAAACTGTAATGACCCAGTGTCACCGAAGCCACATGCCATCTCACTGCCTCCACATGGTTTACAGATGATACTCTGCCTCTGATCAGGAGCTTTTCGCAGCGGCCTCCATGCTTTTTTAACTTCCCGTTGTTCCGGTTCAGGCAGATTTTAGCTCCATTTGGCCTTTTGTGATATTTATGAATGAGGTATGTGTGGTAAAAAGTAGTAGTAGTAGTACACACTTTTTCCCACAGGAAAAGCAGTAGGCAGGCATTTTTATGATTTTTCTTCTCGTCTTTGCTTTGTAATACAGTATTTAGTTGTGGGTATCATAAATAACTGACTAACTGACATGACTTTTCTTTAATTATTTCAATGTTCCCATTTTCTTGCTAGTAAATTACTGTTGGTCTGTACATGGCCTGCTTCATTTCCACTGAGGGCTACTTCGACTAAATGGTGAGAGTTTACAGCCAAAAAGTTTCAAAATCCAAAACCTTCTCCATTAAAGACAAAATAATGAAGTGTTCTTTTCCTGTTTCCTCAAATGTATATTTAAATGTATACTTACATTACTTATGCACGTTAGGTCAAAATCAATTCTATAAGTTTTACCTTCAGGTTTCCTTGAAATAGCTGAAAAAATGGTGTCCAAGGTACATTTTTTAGGAGTCATTACCATTTTCACTCAAGCCCTCAACAGAAATACTGCAGCTTGTACGTTTACCATATATGCAAAAACAAATGAATATTTGCTAAATCTCGTGATGTGGATTCGAGCTCTGATTGGGTGAGATGCTGTGTTTCCACCTGTTTGGAGAATTAAAGAAGGGACGAGGAAGCAGACTCTTTTTCCCACATGAACTGAGGTGTTTTTACTGCATTTCAGTAACAGAAACAGCCTTTAATACACATTGCACTCACAGCGAAGAATAAGACACATCCTCAATGTCAGTGGACAAAGTGATCCAAAGTGGCCTTAAGAGGAGGGGGTCTACAGTTTGGCCATAGGCCTCCTCCTTTCAGAAGGTGCACTCCAGAATTGCAAGCATTAAAAGCACCCAGTTGATGCCTTGGCAGGTCAATACAACACACACAATGGGTGTAGATGTGATCGACAAAACTTCGGGGAGAAGGGGGGGTTGGGGTGGGGGGGTGTACTGACACAAAATCACTGGAATGAAGAAAACTCGCAGCCCATACAAAAGTCTGTGGAGTTTGGACTCTATGTTAAAAGTTAACTAGGATCTAATCGACGCGGATTAGAACTGACCTCTTTTTTTTTTATTTATACTTTAAAACTACGACTTTTCCTCCGTGTTGTCCAGCTGATGCTCCAGTGATGCTATGCCAGTAGGGGGTCATGTTAAAATGGGACAGGTAGAAACCCAGAGGAAGGGAAGGCTCGCTCAGGCTTCCCTCCCCGGTGCTCAGCACTTCTACTGATTTCTGCTAACACCAGTTTTGTCCGTTTTGTCCACATGAAAAAAAACTTTTCTGTGTTATCTTTTTGGAATATGATACTCTTGCAAAGTCATACACATCCATATAGATAGATGAACTCTTTTTTTTTTGTCAGCATACAGGGTAAGCTGGGTGACTATATATGAAGACAACAACTACAACTTTCACAGCACTGGCATTGGTTAATTTTAAATACAGTACTCAAGCATTGTTAGATTAATAAAATAACAAAAGAAAAAATAAAGGAAACATAATACCCCCGCAAATATAAGCTACTGTATGCAAGTTGGTGTCTCCCCTAAAATGCTTCTTTTGAATTTCAATGGCATGATGTACATATTTGTTTTAACCATACCAACATTTATCCAAAGGGTAAATTGTCTATGCAGCGTGT